TTAACTTTGAGATCACAATTTTCACCTGTTTTTTTTTTCTCCCTTGCTGATGAAACTAAGTTCATATTTCACCAAAAAAAAAGAAGATAAATAAAAACAGGGAAAGCATTATTGGGGAGAAAAAATAAAATAAAAATAAAACCGGCTTGCAATTGCAAAGTTAGAATATATAGAATAGCAGAGTTGGAAGGGACCTTGGAGGTCTTCTAGTCCAACCCCCTGCCTCGGCAGGAAACTTTACACCACTTCAGACAAATGGTTATCCAACATCTTCTTAAAAACCTCCTTTTCTGGAAGGAAAGGAAGGAAGGAAGGANGCTTCACGGAATGACTGGGTTCCCAGTCATTTCGGTCGCTAAATGAGGACAACTTGTATGGTGCTTTAGACTCTCATTTCACCTTCTGTGGGGGGAGTTTGGGGTGGAACCGTGTTACTATCTTAACAACTGCAACGGTTACGCAGGAAAGGTCATGAAAAGGAGCATTCCTCACTTAGTGACATAAATGTGGGGCTCAGTTGTGTTCGTACGTTGAGGACTGGGAAAAACAGGGAGAGAAGGATGTGAGAATCAAGATGGAAAGAGGAGTGGGGGGTCCCGGGATTCAGGGTATCCTGATATTTGGGGGTAACTGAACTTAACGTCGTATCTTTCTTCCGTCGTAGCTCTGATACCACCTGGCCACATCCCGACGCAAAAGGGGTCTCTTCAATCAGGTAGGCCCAGAAAAGGAATTCTGGGAAATTGTGGGGCTGGAGGGGGTGTCCTCATTCCATGGATAAATCAATAAAAATATTTGGGGTGCATATGAGATATTTTCATGCATGACAAAACTCCTCGTTGATTTCCGCAGACGATCCAGATGCCCCGATGTTGCGCAGTGTGGGGTACAATTCCTCCCCGCGGCTCGGCAGCCCGCTGCCCTTCGTCGGCCTTTTGCTGTGGGTCTTCCTCTCTCGGGGGCCCTGAAGGGAATCTCGGGCCCTCCCAATGAACCCCCCCGGATTGAGCCAGGCAGGGTGGATCCCGACCAGGTCCACGCGGCGAGCGAGCGAGACGGCAACGTGGGATCTTCAGGGTTACCAACCCTGAAACTGTCGGTAGCGTGAGGCGCGAGGAAGCGCAGCGCATGCCGCAGGCGTGGTAAGGACAGTGTGCAAATCCTCTCTTGTTCTTGAGAGCGATCTCGTTGGACTCCCAGTGCGAGAAAGCAACGCGGCGAGCAGACGACGTGTCCTCCGCAGGTCGGAGACTTATCCTCCGTGAGTCCGAGACGCCGCGGATCCTTCAGAAGTTTGATGGACATTGTTGGACTTTTCGAGCAAATGTCGTCGGACTTTTCGAGCAAATGTCGTCGGACTTTTCGAGCAAATGTCGTCGGACTTTTCGAG